CATGGGCATGTACAGGAGCAGCGCCCAGACCCACGGAGGGCACGGGCACGCAGAGGAGCAGCGCCCAGACCCACGGAGGGCACGGGCACGCAGAGGAGCAGTGCCCAGACCCACGGAGGGCATGGGCACGCAGAGGAGCAGTGCCCAGACCCATGGAGGGCATGGGCCCTGCAGCTGGGCAGTTGGGCCCACCCCTCTGCACTGTTGCTTCAGGGGAAAGCGGATGCACCAACCCCAAGGCCGGAGTTCAACAAGGAAACAAGAGGTCCAGGCAAGGCGCTGCTATAAACCCAGCGGGCCTGGCTGCACGCTGGCTGGCACGCCCCTCCACTCAGCAACAGGACACACATGCTGCCCAGGACGTGCCATATGCTAGGCGACAGCACACGCCTCAGTAAACGGGCAAGCCTCAAAGCCAGGCAGGCCGTGTTCTCCAACAGCCACCCAATGGCATTCGCGAACAAGAGCAGGAAGAGACCAGGGGAGCTGAAAATTCACGGAAACTGAGCAACCAATTCCCTAAAGAGCCAGCGGCCGATGAAAGCTCAGAGAAGGCAGAAAATACGCTGAACCAGTGAGAAAGCAAACACAACCTCGAAGGAGCCCCTGGCTGCAGCTCAGAGTGAGGCATGCAACCACCCAGGAGGGAAGCAGGTTCCCAAGGTGCTTGACGGCTCTGAAGCACTGCTGAGCTCACCCATCTGCAGAGCAAGGCACTGGGGGATAGGGACCTCATTCCCCTTGACGAAATGTGAAATACCCACCAGGATCAATCTATCTATTCCATTTGGCTGGCTGGACTAAATACACACTTACAATTTTTAAGCGGTTTATTTCATTTATTGAACTGAGCCAGCCCAGGCGCGTGGGCAGGGAGGCAGATGGAAGGCAGCACAGCCAGGATACATCAGAAGACGGGCTCCTGTGAATGCTGGGATGTCACCGTGCTTGGACCAGCGTGATGGGCAGCAGCTCAGAACTGCTGAGCTATCGAAACCACTTGGGCAGTGCCCTCGGAGCACGCCCCGAGTCGGGGACCCTAGGGTGGGTGCGAGGCTGGGTGGGGCTTCTCCCTTTGTTTCCCTCCTTCCCCCAGATACAGGAAGGAAAAAAGAGAATGTGGAAACAATGGTCTTACCCACTTTCCTGTAGCCCTTGACCCTTTGTGCCCTAATCAACTATGTAAAGATCATAAAAAAAAAAAAAGATTGGCTCCTGCACAATTTTTATGTTTATTAATTTTTTTTTCTAGAAAAAGAAATTTAATTGAGTCCTAAGAGAAAAAAAATACCCAACTGTCAAGTGGCTATTATGGAAGACAGCATAGAAATTCCTTGAAATAGTAGAAACAGCACTGCCGGATGACAGGGCACTCCCTGCTCCTGGGCGTTTATATGAAGAGAATCAAGGTAGGCACTCGGGGCTGGCACGCAGCACAGAGGTAGAGCCATGGCCTGCAGTGCCCGCAGCTCCCACGTGCAACAGTTCAATTCCTGGCTGATCTACTTCCCCCTTAGCTCTCTGCTGATGTCCCCTGGTAAGAAGTGGAAATCTGCCCAAGGCTTGGGCCCCTACACACACAGGGGACGCCTGGAAGAAGCTCCTGGCTTCGGGCTGGGCCACCCCTGGTCACCGTGGCCGTTTGGAGAACGAACCAGCAGATGGAAGACCTCTCTGCTAGTCTGTCTTCCCCTCTTCCTGCAATTCTGCCTTTCAAAGAAATTTAAAATAAATAATTTCCTGTTTGCCAACAGATAAATAAGGAACATGAGACATGTAGAAAACAGCACAAGGAATCTATAGGACTGTATCTCTTAAACATAAAAAACCTGTTTATGAAAAAACACTCAAGAAGCTAGCCATACAAAGGAACTTTCGGAAACTGATGGAGGCATTTGTGAAAAATTCCCAAGCTCCATCATGTTTAATGGGGGAATTGGAAGGCTCTCCACTAAGAGCAGAAATGATACCAGCACATTTACAACCTTCACTTCCATCCAGGTTCAGAGGGCAGGAGAAAGCTACATGGCCTCTAGGCTGGCAAGGGAAAAAAATCTGCAACTTCTCTGCTTGCAGCTGCGAGGGTGCTGTAGCTAATATGTTAGGTTAATTAAGGCACAGGAAACACCAACACATAAGCTTAAAGGCTGAGCATACCTCAAGTGGATAAAGTGCAAGGCTTCTGAAAATCACGCATTTACAGGGAATATACACTGCAGAAAATATGCATGCATTTCCAAATGTTTGTGCCAAAAGGGAAAAAAACGATCTTGATTCAATTTTCTACAAATACTCTGAAGTGCCCTTGTGCATATCTACACGCTGAACAACGAACAGTTGCAGAGGAAATTCCACTTATTAACGGGATCGGAGAGGCACACCGCTCGGGCACTGCTGTCGAATACACCACCTACGATCCTGCCAGCTGCCCGTCTGCAGAAGCGAAGCTGATCCTAACTCAGGCACGGGGCCCAACAAAGCCAGCACAACCGTGCAGAGGATCGCAACTGAAGGGTGCGAACTTCTTCATTTCAGAACGTACTCCAAAGTAAGCAATACAAGAGGGTACCGATCTTCGGAGGGAAGGGCATCCTTCCACACCTGGTCCACGGGGCTTCAACAAGGGTGGCCATGGGGAAGACTTTTCGCAAAGAAGGTCAAAGACCCCTTCCTTACATTACAGAGACACGAGCTCAAAATGGACCCTCGAGTGTGAAACTAAGGAGGCCCCTCGCACCGACAAGGCTGGCTTTGGAGAACAGCCTGCTCGGTGGTTCCTTGAAACATGAACTGAGTGACCACACGGCCTGGCAATCCCACGCCCACCAGGCCAGATGAAGTCACAGACCCCCCAGAATGCTGTGCGGCGCACCACTGCTCGTGGCTGAATGACGAAAGCAAGGAGGTCTGAACTAATGAAGGCAACAAGGCACACGGTATCCACAATGAACCAAAAAAGATGAAAACCATTGAACTTCACCCACTTTTAATGAGTGAAGCGAACGGTATGTGGATCATATCAACAAAACGTGACAAAAATTAACAACAACAAAAGCCACCACACCAGGCAGGCTTGTGTGACTTGGTGGGGCCAGCAAGCATGGCTTGCACGGGTGTCTCTCCAGCCACGGGCACAGTCCAGGATGGGCACGCTCCTCATTCTGAACGCCTGGCATGCCTCGGCTCAGAAGCAGCCAGTGCTGAGGGTCAACACGACCTGGAGCTGCCCTGCAGGACCAGGTGGGGGAGTGTCCCCCTGCGGGCAGCACCACTACCTCTCGGTCCAGACTTGGACAGGAGCGACAACGGGAAGGACACGGAGCTGCTGGGGACGCGAGGGGCAGAAGGAAACCTGAGCTGAGGAAAACACGGGCCAACGAAGCCCAAACAGACGTGACCGCCAGAGGCAGCAGCCAGACACACTCGCGGCAGGAAATGGGCAGAGAGAAGACCTCATCCAGCTGGAGATCCACATGAAGAGCCAAAGGTTAAGGCAATGTACTACAATTCTTCAAAACGTCCGTACCTTTCATGAGCCATGCTCTACTTCATTCTAGGAGTCGAGCCTGAGAAATCTATAGGGTTTGAATTATTGCAGCAGTACTTAGAAATGCAAACATTAACAGCAGGACCAGATAGAAGCCTTCCACATGATCACCCAAACAGACCCTTGTGTCAGCCACAGCCCGCAACACCAGCATTCCATTGAATGCTGGCTCGCCTCCTGGGCTGCTCCACTTCTAACCCAGCTCCTGCCAATGCGCCTGGGAAAGCCCTTGCACCAGGAAACAAGAGACAGATGGAGTTCATGGCTCCTGGTTTGGGCCTGGTCCAGCCAAGCCCCAGTCATTGCCATCTGGGAAGTGAGACAATGAACTGAATAGCTGTCTGTCCTGTCTCTTTTAAATATGAACAGATCTTTAAAACACAATCTCATTTTACAGCTGAGGGAACTCACGTACAAAGGAGTGGAAACTTACAGTGTCCTCTGAGAGCTGGACTCAAAGGCAATCTTCAAGTCCACCTACCACCATGTCAGGTTGCCCCAGGTACACCTCGGAGTGCACAAAACGGCTCAGAGTGGGATAAACCAGACTGTTTCACTTCATTGCTGATCCATCACCAAGCTAATCAATTTCACGATGTGGGCATGCGCTGCATGTCCTAGACGCCAGGGGCCTCTGTGCTGACCCGGAGCGGAAGCACACCGATCACCAAGTGATGCCACAGCCACGGCAGCGGCACGCGTTCCTCCGTGACTGTGGTGGTGTCACCGCAGGGCCAGACGCATGATGAGCCACGATGGTAGTGCTGGCTGTGCCTCTGCTACGAGACCCATCACACTGTTGGACTTCCCACACGGGCATGGTCTGCATCCTGGCTGCTCCACTTCCACTCCAGCTCCCTGTTTATGGGGCCCTGGGCCCCTAAACCCATAGGAGACACCTCCCAGCTTTGGCCAAGCCCAGCCCTAGCAATGAGGCCATCTGGGGAGTGAACCAGCAGACGAAAGCTAACTCCACCTTTCACATAAGCTAAAACCTTACTTTAAAAAAATAAGTGCTTGAAACAATTCTCTCTGTTCTAAGCCCTCTAGCATATGTGTTTCTCTGTGAATATTTCCCCTGGCACCCTGCCATGCTCACACCACTGTGCTTTTTCTTCATTTTATCCTCTCTTAACTTGATGCTCCGGGCCACTTACAGTTTACTAAAGGCCTGGATACTGGTTTCATGGTGGAGCATGTGGCAGGCACATGGAAACAAAGACTTTAAAGAATGGGGGTCCCATCTGGCACAGAACAGCCCCGAGGGGCCACCCACCCAGCCCAGATCCTCTGACGCCCTGGACATGGTACACATGGGCAAGTAAAGGCACCCCCAGCTTGGCTGCAGGGCACAGATTCTAGAACTGTCTGGACCTCGAGGCAAGTCCTCCAATGGCTGGCAGGGCCCCTCTGGGTGCCAGGCAGACGCTGGGGCAAGGGACACAGCACCCACCTGTGCATGTTCCCATTGGTGGTGAAAGACTGGCCACACACGGTACATTTATATGGCCTCTCGCCAGAGTGCACCAGCATGTGGCGGTCCAGGGAGCTGGCTGAGCTCAGCGACTTCCCGCAGATGCTGCACGCGTGGTCGGCTCCTCCAGTGTCCGTGTTGTGCTGCGAGAGGCAATGAGAGCAGTGGTCATGGAAAAGGGCCAGCCCCAGTCGTTAGCACATGTGGGCCTGCAGCTTCTTCCAAAGCAGGGCTTCATGTTAAGCTATCTTCCCAAAGGGCCCCACATCTACGAAAAGCACAGGCAAGCATCGTCTTTCCCCACTGCCCAGCTCCACATGCGTACGGCAGGGCCCGCAGAGGGCAGTGGTCTCTGGAGCACAAAGATCGGCTGCCCACCCCAAGGGGAAGGACATGCTACAAACACGCACAGGAAACGGGGTCCCCACTCAGGAGCCAGCATCTCCTGTCCAGGTTTGATGACTCAGGCCTGCTAGAGGGGAAAAGAGAAGTGAAAGCCGTCCAGGGCAGAGGGCTGGGCCTCTGACACGTGGCAAGGAGACTCCCCGCTGCAGGCTGCATGTTCCCACCACAGTCAAGGACGGGGGTGACACCTAGGGAAGGGCATCTGGCTCACGCTGGTGAGCCACTCACAACGCACGCTTCTCATGCAGGTATCCAGCGAACCAGACTCACATGAGGTTCTGCAAAGTCATTCTACACTGACCCAGGATTGCAGAACAGCAGAGCTGCTAAGAAGGTTATAATACTGCTCATAAGTGGGCACAGCTCAGTGCACCTGCTGACGCTCAAGCTCCTTGCCCCGTGCTCATGTGGAATAACTAAGGAACACAGACAAGTTGGCCAACCTGACGGATGTGCATGGTCAACTGGTGCTGAGTGGTGCAGAGCTTCTCACACAGGGGGCAGCTGTAGGAAGACTTCTCCTCTTTTGTTTCCTAAGGAGATGAAAAGCAAACATGAGCCTGCGATCACAGAGAAGAAATGCCTTCTATTTCTGCAACAAGCACCTGTGACTCAACAGTTGAGGGCCACAGGCGAGAGCCCATCCTGGGTGACACCCAGGTTCCTCGTGGGTAAGATGGCAAATGTAACAGTGCCCAACTCGCTGTTCTGTAGGCACTGAACTGGCACACGGTGCAGAACAAGTGCCCAGCAAGCAGGGTTTTAGTGGGCAGGAACCAGATAATTCAGTCCTGGTGACTGCGCCAAGCTAAGTGGCGAACTTATCATGGTCCAGCTCAGACAGCGACACCAAGTCCAGACTGCTGCCTCAAGTCCAACTCATGCTCTGGAGTCTGCCTTCTACCAGGTCTGAGAGCCCTACAAACACACAAGAGACAATGTTTTCATAAAAGAAAAAAGCAGAATCCCAGCCTACTCACATGAGAGGTGCTCTGTAGCAGGCACCCAGTGGGCATGGGCCCAATATGGGTCCGCTGTTCACGACGAGCACCTGCTCATAAACAAGAGTAGGCAACCGGGGCAGATATTGAGCTCAGTAACAGGCTGTGTCCCACAGGGAGCACCTGGGGTCAGTCCTGGCTCTCATCCCTGATTCCAGCTTCCTACTGGTGTGGCCCATGGGAGGAAGCAGCTATGATTTGTGGGACCAGCTCTTGCCACAAACACGTCAATCTGGATGGGGAGTGAATCAACGGACGGAAGATCTTCCTCTCCTCTCTGTATAGCTAACTTTGCAATAAAAATAAATATATCTTTTAAAAAATAAGAAACAAACAACAACAAAAAGATAGATAGACAGATAGATATTCTGTCTGCTGGTGTATATCCCAATTGGCTGCAACAACAGGAGCTGAGCCAATCCAAAGCCAAGAACCAGGAACTTCCCCCAGGTCTCCCAAGTGGGTTCAGGGTTACGAGGTCTTGGGCTGTCCTTGACTGCTTTCCCAGGCCACAAGCAGGGAGCTGGATGGGAAGTGGTACAGCCGGGACATGAACCAGTGCTCGTATGGGATCTTGGCACATGTGAGGTAAGGATTTAGCCACCAGGCTATCGTGTTGGGCCCCCAACACTATCCTTCTTAAACCTATGGGTATGATCTGGGGCTGAGACATCCACACGGGATGAACTAGGACCAGTCTACTCCTCCGGGAGGTGGCTCAAAGCGTGCTTTCTCCAAGCAACCTGCTGCTTCCTACCAGAGGGCAGGCCAGCCTCCTTGCCAGCCTGTTACAGCTCCTTTGTCCCACCCTCTCCCGGAGACTTGGCTGTCCCTGCCCCCTCAGCCACATGGGATCTAGGCTCAGTCACCTTTCCTGAAAGCTCTGACACTCAGGCCAGCGGGCTCCATGTGGGAGCACAGTCCCCTGGAAAGCTTTCTGAAACACACATTTCTAGACCCTGTCCTGGACAGGCTCACCAGAAACAACGTAGCGGTGGTTAGAGGGTGTGAACCCCAGAAGTCTGTCACAAGCTCCCTAGGGGATGTTGCTGCTCAGGTTTTGGGGCCACAAGCCCTGGAGTTCCTGGAGGGTCCTCCTGGTCCACCCCACGAAGGCATCGAGGAGCTCAGAGGACATCAGCTCCCAGCTGGGGGCTGCACCTCCCTTCCTGCCTGCAGCCAGCTTTCCATGGCACTCTGGATGAGCTGGCATCCCTTCTCCTGGTGTGTAACACCAAGTACTGAGCACTTACTCTGCTAGAGTCTGTGGGGCAGGAGGAGCAAGGTTTGCCCCACGGTCATGGCTACGGATCCTGTTTTCGGGACAAGGAAAATGGGTTCCCAGCAATGCAAGAAACTAGCCCGGAATCAAAGAACAGTTCCGTTAGCCGACTCAGGACTAAAACTCAGTCCAGGTGCCCGAGAGCCCAATAACCTAAACCACGATGCTATATAAAGTGCAACCCAAAAAAAGCATTAACCCCAAGGCACACAAAGGAAACATGCTTGTGGCTGTCATGAGAGATGATGAAAATAACCCCCTGAAGACCATACAAACAAATGGCACCAGAACCACATGGGTGGAGTAAAGCATGGCGAGGTCCGCTTTGTGGCTGCCTGCCTACTCTCTCATCTGTGGGACCAGCTCAGAGAAGCAGGCTGGCCACACATCTGCTTACTCTGCAACTTTAGAAAACAAAGGCTGGGACACCCAAGGGAGAGCTGAAAGAGGATCTGCAGTGCTGTCCCGTGACCCACACACTTGGCATCCACGGGGGGTGAAGGGCAGCGGGGCAAGGGGTCAGGCCACATGGACAGGAAAGGGCAGCACTGGGCCCCCGCACAGGAGATGGAGCGGCAGCAAGACACACTCCACCACTGGCCGGGCTACGAGGTCAAAGGACCAGTCCCCCTGGGGCATTTGGTTAGACCATCCAATTAGCAACAATATACAGTAAAAATAAAACCTTCTTACGGAAACATCCACTCATGGTCACAGTCAGGTCCACACTTGGCCCACCTTTCAAGGACAGAAACCCTTCCCTAACCTTTGCCTTCACCTCAAAGGAGACCTGAGAGCACCATGCAGCTGTGCCCTGGTTCCTGGGCTGGCAGAGGCATCTGTGGACCAGGGTACAGGGTCCTCTGGGCAGGAGGGTCGGAGGGCGGGAGCTTTGTGGACTCAGGTCTGGCTTGTAAAGAGACCCACAGAAGCCAAGCAAAGCCCCATGGTGAGTTCTGAACCAGTTACTTGGCTGTGCAGGTGGAAGGAGCACACTTTCTGAGTTAATGAGACAAGCAAGGACCGCGTAGGGGCCCAGCAGCAGCAGCAGCAGCCAGCCCTGGCCAGCCCGCGCTCGCGGACGGAACTTCCACGAGCCGGCTGGCAGCTGAGGAAGGTCTCCCCACCGCATTTATCAGGTGCCCTCTGACTCAAGACCCCCAGCTGCACTCCCGGCTCTCGGGGCACAAAGGACGGCTGAGTAGAGGGCTCCGGGCCCTCAGGGAAGGATGGCTGAGCAGTGGCCCAGGTGCACCAGTCAGTTGGTTTCCTTGCCCCAAGAGAGGCAACCCGCATCTGGGAGGCAGGCATGGGAGAGGCTAGTCCTGGCCTGGGGCCAACTCCACGCCACCCGAGGCCAGGCTCTTCCTCTCTCCCACTCCTTCTTGGCCAAGAGGGGCAGGGAAGGACATGGACCTCAACTGAGTCACGCAGCCAGGCGTTGCCAGCCGAGCCCAGTCAGCGCTGGGCAGGCAGCATGGAAGGGCAGATGGAGACAGATGGACAGATGGGTGGTGGACAGGCACACAAGACAGTGGAAGTAAACCTTTTCTTCCCACAGCTAGCGCTCCTCCTCGACTCGGGCCACAGCCACACAGGGTACCCCAAGAGGCACGTGCAGAGAGGGGAGAAAAACAGAGAGAAAGGCGTCAGTGTTCTGAACCCAGGCCATCTCAGGACGCTGCCAGGCTCCTGACCTTGAGCAAGATGAGGTGAAGTGTGCTCCCCATGGCAGGCGGGGTGCAGGCTGGGAGGGCCGGCTGTTCCCATGACCCTCAGAAGGCTCAAAAGGACGGCTCAGAAATCAACAAAGCTGAGCTCACATGGCTGTACTGGGGCACTCTCAGTGGGCTTACCAAGAGCAAACAGCGACACCTCACCAGAACCCAACTCGTTGCTTTCTTGGCTGTCCATCCCAGGCCCCAGGAAAAGCTTCCCGAAGACCTCTGCCTGGCTGAGAGTTGAGTAAGCCCAGGACTCAGTCCCCCAGGACTTAAACACGAGGGATTCAACAGATGCAAAAGAGTCAGGTCTCTCGGCCAGAGAGGATGACGTTTCCACAGTGCCCCACTCTGCCACAGCTGGGGAGATGCCATCTCGTCCACTCCCAGGAGGACACCCGGCCCTCCTCCCAGTCCTCACCCACCGCGAGCATTCTACCACTTCCCCCTGGTCCCAGCCCCACTGGGCACTTCAGATCACCAAGGGGCATCTTCCGTGGGATTATCCAGAGCAAAGTTCCATGCTGCTCTCCAAGCACGGGCAGCTCTTATTCACAACCTAACCCGAGGATGCTAAAAATAAACAAATACATAAATAACTCAGGAGGCAGCTTTGACATCCCAGCCCGACGGACAAAGACACAAACCCACTGCAGCAGGCTTGTGTTCAAATCACATCATTGTGCAGCGTGAACGTGCTCCTGCAGAGGGGAGGCACACGTAGGGCCTGCACATCCATCGCTGTAGTGCGTGGGGCCTGACCCTCCCACTCCCAGTCCCTGGCGTGCGTACCTGGTTCCTTCTGCCAATGCGATTTAGTCCCGGAGGCTTGGCAGGGGACTTGAGGCCCTGGGGGCCGGCGCCGTTCTCGGCGACCTTCCCCATGCCCATCACGGCAGACATCATGGTGTTGACGGAAGATAGATCTGAACCCTCCAGGCCGGCAGGTGGACTTGACGTCATGGGGACGGGGGACTATGCTTCGGAGAAGCCTCTGCCACAGTTCTGGAAAGTGGACACAGCAGGCAGTCAGGCTGTGGGCTCAGCCAGCCCTGCTCACTCTGCTTCCATGGTGTGAGCCCAGAACACCCAGGCTTTCACCAAATCAGGTGCTGGCACCCGAAGGCTCACCCCTCAACCCTGCTTCCTGTGTCATCTGAGGTCAGGCGCCCTGCCTTCCCTCACATGCAGACGAGCTGCTGGCTGTCCGCAGCCACCATTGTAGTCGATGACTCGATGCCGGGCCCTGGCTTTCAAAGGGGCCTCTGCCAGGGCTCCAAAACCATAAACCCTGCTCCTGCGGTGCTCCAAGCAGGCCACAGGTCTGCACCCCGCGGTCCCCAAGTGGCCATTACCTCCATCTTCTGCCCCCAACGGCACTTGGAGACCTCTCTCTGCTGCAGCTGTGGTCGATCGTGGAAGGAGTTGGGTCTGCACGTGTTCCTCGCTGTCCCTCCCCGTAGTGCAGGTGGACACTGCAAAGGACAGGGGGACCAGACTCAGTGAAGCGAGCACTAAGCCTCTGGCTGCGGGCACCGATGAAGGGCATGGGGGCTGAGACGGGCTCTGTAGCCACCTGATGTGGCCAGCTCACACAGCCCAGAGTCTACACCCCTCGCCACCACAGTGCATAGATCTCTGCCAGGCCCTGAGACCCACCTCACCTTCCACCCCAAACCGCCCAGACACAAGATGGGCAAGGAAGTCACCGAGGGCTGGTACTGGGTGGAACCTAAGTGAGAATGACCACAGGCTCCTGCTGGTCACCTATAACCCACTCCAGTGCCTGCCTGCTCCTACCATGTACCTGACACCATGCACTCACCACATTCTGGAACATGCCCATCCTTTTCCAGAAAATCCCACCCCAGCTTTGGTGCCTCCAGTGCACAGGCAGGGATGCTGGAAGGTTCGCCCGCAGTGGGCTGCACTCCCCACATCTCCCCTGGGAGTCCACAGCAGCCTGCTGCCTCAGCCCACTGCAAGCAGGGCCAACGAGAAGCCCGCAGACATAGGGCTTCCCTGCCTGGGTCAGGGCACAGCCCCATCGCTGCCAGTCACAGTGCCCACACGTGCCATCGTGCACACGGGGCGTTGGTAAATCCACAGGCCCACAACAACGGCAGCAAGGAGAGCCTGTCAGCTCTGAAGGAACACCTCCTGCTGACCGGGACAGGTGCCAAGGCACTGCTCAATGGTGCCACCTGAGGCACAGCACAGAAGGCCAGGGCCTGTTCATGAGCTCAAAGCTAAAATCCCACCCCAGGGGCTAAGAAGAGTCTGTCTTTATGCAACTGTGCATTGGATGTGTCCTCCATGAAATCCCACCTTGCAAGCTCAATAGGCCCAAAGGATGTGTTCACGGGGCTCGGGGGGCCTTGGGGGGGGGGCCTCCTGCTGGCCCGAGGAGAGGGACCTGAACAGGAGCTGCGTGACCACAATGTGCCAGGGCTAAGCTCCTAGGGAGCAGGCAACACGACAGCAACTGAGCCATCCGTGAACAGACGTGGCTACAAACCCTGCCTCCCACCTAGCCATCTATCCAGAAAGTTCCCCACAGTAGCTGCCCACTTAATAATCATTAGACCGTGTCTTAACCTCCCTGTTTCCAGCTGCTCTCTTAGGCAGTATCTCCCCAGGTGGAAAAAGATGCACCCTCAAGTACATGTATATTTTAGTGTGTGTATACACCCAAGAAACAGCATACAGTTCTCCCTAATTACGGATGATTCATAAGTGGATACAGGTACTCCTTGTCAGGATATCTCTCCCACAATAGCAATGTACACATGATGATAAAAATCAACTCTTCTATCAGCAAAAAGAAAAAAAAAACCTTCCTAATAATTACAGCTTCAAAGTTCTGTCTTCCTTCTGTCTAGGAAGGAAAAAGGTTATAGGATTTACTCAAATTGGGCCTGGCACTGTGGCCTAGCACCTGAAGTCCTAGCCTTGAATGTGCTGGGATCCCATATGGGTGCCACTTCTAATCCTGGCAGCCCTGCTTCCCATCCAGCTCCCTGCTTGTGGCCTGGGAAAGCAGTCGAGGATGGGACCCTGTACCCGCATGGGAGACCTGGAGGAAGCTCCTGGCCTTCAGATCAGCTTGGCTTCTGCTATTGCAACCATTTAGGGAGTGAACCAGCAGATGGAAGATCTGTCTCTCCTTCTCTGTAAATCTGATCTGCATTTCCAATAAAATAGATAAATTTCTAAAAAAAAAAGTCTCAGCTGAAGGCTCATTTACACACTGTGTTTTCCTTACAGGTATTCCACATTCCCCACTCTTCATTCCCATTTCCTCTCCCTCTCCCTGTCCTCTGTGCTGCCAGGGAACAGACCTTCACCGTGCCCATCTGGCACTGTCCCCTCCATCCGGCTTGAGTGGGCGCGGGGAACCAGAAAGCACGCACAGGCCACAGTATGACCAAAACTCCCCGGCGCTCCGCTGCCCACCCCTCCCTGCCCCCAGTCTGCATTTGTGGATCAGGGCGATGCAGCTCCCTGTAGGACACACACACAGCTGCCCAGCTCACTCCTGGGACCGTGTAGTCAGGGACTTGGGAGTCACTTGGCGCCCAAGCCTCAGGAGGGGACAATGCAGGGCAGTGCAGGGCGGGCCGGGGAAGACGGCGGGGCGGTCACTAACCTGTGTTCTCCGTCTTACTGAGGGGCTGACTCTGGCTGAGCCCAACCGTGCGCGTGGTCACTCCTCAAAGCCACCACTACTGGCCTAGAGATTCGCAGCAACCTGCAACAAACAACGGGTGACATTGAAGTGGGGTGAAGACCGAAGATGATCCTGGCTTGCACCCATGGCAGAGACAAACTCCCAGCTCCCCCGGCTATGGCCTGGCCCACATACAGCCATTGCAGCCATCTGGGTCTGTCTCTACCTCCTTACTAGTTCTGTCTTTCAAATAAATAAATCTTGAGAATAAATCCCTCCCTCCTCCATTAAAACTCAGACCTGCTTCTTAAAAAATTTTAAATTTACTTCATTTGCAAGGCATATGAGACCAAATGGAAGACGGAGAGAGAAATCTTCCATCTGCTGGTTCGCTTCCCAGAAGTCAGAATGGCTGGGGCTGTGCCCCGCTAGGCCAGGACCCAGGAGCTATCCGAGTACATCCAACGTGGGAGGAGGCGCTCAGGCAGGTCAGCTCCTGCTGCCTTTCTCAGGCACGTTAGCAGGAGCTGACCTAGAAGCAGAGCAGCCAGGACCCAGACCAGCTTTCCCACAATGGACGCTGGCATTCCAGGCAGAGGCTTACCTCCACTGCACCACAGCACCAGTCCCTAGAAAAAGGCACATCAGGCAAATGGCCAAGTGGTTGGGAAACCACGTGGGCCACCCACCCTCTTATCCCAGCCTCCTGCTAACGCGCACCCTGGGAAGCAGCTCGTGGGGGCTGGCGTGGCTGGTGCCTTGCCACCCACACAGAGCCGAGTGGAGCTGCCGGCTCCTAGCCCTGCCTACGGCGGAATGAGCTGATGGAAGGAAGACATTCTCTCTTTGCCGCCTTCCAAATAAGACAAGACATAGCTGAAAAAACATTTTAAAGACACCAAAGTGGAGAGAGGGTCCTCTCAGAGCAACAGGGCCAGAGACCTGACCTCGGGGTCCCCACCGTGTGACCCTGGGCACAGAAGCTGCACACTGAGGTTCCTGCAGGAAGGACAGCCCCTGCCCCCCGCTGGCTTGGGGCTCCATCAGGCTCCTGGGATTCAGAGAATGGGAAGGCATGCCAGATCCGCCTCACCTCCATCACCACCTCCTGAGAATGGGCTGTGAGGCTCAGGACACCCGATGAGCCACTGGGAAGGTGACTCCTGCAGGTGAGCGAGGAAGCCAGGGCCGTTGAGGAGGTGCTGGGTTCTCAGACTCGCATTCCCATATGCTTCGCGCAGAGCCCAAGGTGGCTGGGCCCTTCTGCAGAGGGCAGAGGTTGCTCTGGGGCAAGGAGGGTCAGGAGAATGCCAGCCCCCAGTTCCAGAGGAGATAAGGCACATCGCTATGCAAAGCCGGGGAACTTTAAGGTAGCTGTCTCCAGCTCCAACCAAGATAGCAACCCAGAGATAAAGGAGCCAAAGGGCTGCAGCCCAGCTACTAACACCCTCAGGGGGTGTAGGCTGGGCAGGTGGAGGAGGAGAAGGGACTTCGAGAATGGGGGCCCCTTGACCCTCACAGCAGTTGACCATCCAGTTGTTGAGGTGTAGCTCCCAACACCTGTCCTGTGACAGCCTGGCCAGCCCGTTGAGGCTACGTGAAGACAGGCCAAGCAAGCGTCTGAGCAACACGGACACTGAAACGGCCTCTGTTCCCAGGGAGCTGAGCAGTTAGCCAACACATCTTTTGCAGGACCCAGTGGCTGAGTCACGGCCGGGCTGCACCAAGCCAGAGCGGCCCTCAGCCCCAGCACAGCGTCTCTGCTGACCAGGGTGGACTTGCCGGTGTCCCAGGGTGCAGTCAGCTGGGACAATGGCTCTGCGTTCCAGGAAGTGGATGTGTTTCTTGGCCGGGGGTGCAGGCTCTGCCTTGGGTAGGGCGGCCGCTCCTGCGAGTCACCCACCCCACATGGCTCCGACTGGCACAGGCTTTGGGAAAGCAGAGCCGTGGAGCCTCACGTTGCGGGCATCGTGAGGCATTCCTAACAGCCCCTGCCACGGCTGGGTCTCCTCCCACAGGTGAGCGGGAACTGCTGAGAAGCTGGGCAGGTTGTGGGAGAGGCAGAGGAGGTGAGGCTTCTCCATCTGCCCATTGGGGGAGCTCCGAGAACCCTGCTGCTCCAGGCTCTGGCCTTGGCTCACCTTCTGGACCTGCTGCTCCCAGCCCTGGGGAGTCCCCTGTCTGCGTGGCCCCTTCCCTCAGAATAGCAGCCTGCACTTCTCCCCACTGGCCCAGGAAGCACGCCCGGTCACCACAGCCCACAGCCTCTGGGTCTTTCATGCCGTCCATCCTTAACTTTCCTAATAGTTACACCAAGAGCGCAACTGCCCTGCACACATAGATCACGCCAGTGTCTCTGAGCTCCTAGGGGATCCCGTCTCCACGCCAGCCTCTTCTGTACACAACGTGTGACTCCTGGCACGCAGCGCGGGAGAGCATAGATGTGCTGCTGTGGTCACGTTCTCTGAGTCATCGCTGCCCTCCCAGATGCTTGGCGCCTGGCCTTCAAGCCTGGCCCGTGTCTGGGCAGGAAGGAGGTGGGGCGAGCTCTGCACTCCCTTGAGCAGCAAGGCAGTACTGGAACATGTGCAGACACAGCCAGGGCTGTGGGAAGGGCTGGGGGCGGGGGACGTACCCTCGTGACAACAGGGAGGCCGGGAGGCAAGTCTCCAGGCTAGGTCCGAGACCCCGCGCAGCCCAGGCCTGTCTTGGGGCTGGAGGGAGCCTATACAAGAGGATGGGGGCAGAGCCAGGGCCCCAGGGATGAAGACGGCGGGCAGAAGAGCTCTGACTGTCCAGGGCCGACCTGCACAGGACAGCTAGCCGGGGGAACCTGCCAAGGCAGCCCTCCCAGCAGACAGATGTTCCTGAACTCACTCACTGTCCATTACTCTCCAAGGATCTGCTCTGAACCCCATGGCTCGGATGCAGAAACTAGAGGCTGATGGCCCTGCTTGCACGCCCTGGTCAGGACCCTCGGGAGTCTCCCTGGTGACCTCTCAGTGTCCCCAGCCCAGAGATGCTAGGGATGACACTAGCCAAGAGGAACACCTGTTCAATATTCCAGGTCCAGTGCTACCCCTTGGAAGTCCCATGGCTTCCAGCTATAGCCTGACAAACAGCAGGTGCCCGGATCTCATCCCAGACCGCTCTCCACAAACCCTCCCAAGCCAGAAGAACCAGCTCGTTAAACGGTGCAGAGGACACCAAGCCAAGGGTATTCTAGAACCTTCATTCCAGGGGGAACAAGGAAGCTGGTGGAACAAGATTCCAATCCAGGCTTTGTTCACCACGGACAAACTAACCAAGGAGGAAGGCAAGTCACCCAGCTTTCCTGGGAACAGGGATGCTTCCGGTGTCAGCTTCGGGCAGGGCAGGCAGCATATGGCAGATCCTTCAGTGTGACACAGCTGCCATGTTGCTCCCCTCCAGGAAGGCCCCGGTGTAGATGCTGTGGGCAGGGCCCCCACGCGCAAGCCTTCTCAGCCCTGGACACACCCTTTCCCCACTCGCCTCTCTGATTCTCCTAGGCAGGAGGTGGCTCTGAGGGAGGGCAGCCCCATGGCTTCCAGCTACAGCCTGACAAGCAGCTCGGGAAGTGGCCCACAGGGACACAGGCGGTGAAGTTTTTGGGGATTGTAGCAGCGGGGGGGTGGGCATGGAGTACAGGGAGCAACTTCTCTTAAAGATAAAAACATCACCTGCCCATCCTAACCATTGTGTGAGGGTCAGGCCGGAGCCAGCTGACCCCCTGCACCTCGCTGCCGCCACCACCACACGGGCTCTTTGTTTTCTCAGAGGAAGGAAGCGGAGCAGAGGCCCGGTACAGGCGAGGCTGCTGGCGCCCAGGGCTGCTGCAGAAGCTGAGTCCACACCCTGCAGTGCCGCTCCAGGGAAGCATCCCGCTGCCAGGGCCAACGGCTGCCCGCGAGGCCACCTGCCAGCCGTTTGTCACACAGGGCCCTGCGCCCCCTGGGCGGCCCTTGGTGCCGGGCTGTGGGGACAGTAGGTCTCGGGCTGCCGTGCACAGGCAGGCCAGCTGCACTTCCATGCCGTTTTCCTGTTTGGCCCTTCACACTGGGCATTTCACCACCTTCTTGCCTAACAGCAGAAGCCTGCAGCTTTCTCGACTGGCCAGGGCAGCTGGGGGGGCGGGGTTGGGGACAAGGGGCAAGCAGCAGGGTCCAAGCATGCGCTCAACTGAGCAGCTCGCACAGCACCCTCCTGCCCAGTAACTGTCCGGGCCATGAACGTGCCAGATTGCACTCGACCCTCCCCAGGTCCCTCAAGGCACTGCCTAGCTTATCTACTGGCTGTCATGTGACTGGAGTGGGCAGAGCCAGGCAGCCAGCCTGGGCAACGGATGACTCCAAGCCCACCACAAAGGAAGGAAGACTGCTGAATGCCCAGACAGGACCAGGAAACCCAGGGTACTTCTAGAGCTGGAGACAGAACCCTGGGGTTGGCAGAGGGCACTTGTCTGGGGGGGAGGGGGTCATGAAGCCCAGAATGAGGTACAGGTGGGCGGGGGGCAGCAAGCTACCCCAAGACTGCAGGTTCTTGCAAGCAGAACTTGGAGCAGAGTTCACCGCCCCTCAGATGGAAGGAGGCTTGAGAAGGTACTGACCTTCCGCCCTGAGGGGGTGGACCAGGCATGATGGCCTCGACCTCCAGATTCTGCGGACATGCACACCAGGAAGGCACCCCACGCTGTGGACTCACAGCCTGACCCCAGTGCAGGCAACTGGCTCTCTGAGAAAATGATGCTGTTATTCATATCTGCTCTCCTTACAGAAACCCAAAGAGCACCTACTGAAACACTGCAGGCAGTGCAGCACCCTCCAGCACCAAGGACCCTCCTCCCAGCACTTCACTGACCAGCCCCATCTCATCCTGGCTCTTAAGGGACTCCTCTGCTCCCAGGCCCGCCCACAGGCAGGACAGCTCAAGTAGGAAATAGAATCTGTCTTATGGCCAAGTCCACTGGCGCCCTCCGGTGCTGCAGGAGGCTGGGAAGCAGCACACCGGACCTCTCTGGCCACACCACCATGTACAGGCGCTTCAATCAAGGCAAGGACGTG